AATACTCCTGTCTGAGTATTGATACTTTGAGGTTGGGGTATCGATACTAGCCTGAGTATCGATACCAAAATGGTATTCTGGAATCTGATTTATATCCCCGATATCGATACCACCTTGTGGGTATCAAAACTGACCCTACAATATCGATATTCCCCGATGAGTATCGATACTCCTTCTCTAAAATTATGTTAATTTTACCCTAGATGAAGAATAGTATTTGTATTGTTTTGCCAATAACGATACCCCTGCTAAAAAATGTCATGTTTTAGCCAAGAAAGATGTCAACTTTTGTTCCAAAACACCCTAGTGAGGTTCCCAATTGTTATTAGTTATGTATGATAAAGGGGGTTATAAAGAGTCCATAAGCATAATGAAAACACCCTAACACCAAAATCTACCATGAACTTTTTTCATGCTTATGCAACTTACCAAAACTTGTTTAATAAGCTACATATGGTAGAGTTGAGTTATAGGTGAGTTACTTGATATTTTAAACTCCTAGAAGCTCTCAAGAACTCAACCAAGAGTGAGTTTCTCTTTCCCTCTAGCTTTGGAGCTTTATCCAAATTCTCTCACTAAACAAAATCAAGCATGCATGTTACAAGTGCTATTGGAAGCTTAAAAAGGGATTTAAAACATTTCTAGAGGTCTGAATCCTTTAAAAACGAGTTATTTTTCACTTAAGTTATAAAACCTCTACTAAACCCATATTTGGTTTTCTACATCAAAACTTACAAATGGGGGCTTGAAATTATGCTTGAGGTGAAAGGATTATGGTTTTTACCTTAACTTTCCCTTGCAACACTTGGAAGTTTATAAAGTTTCTACCTTTTACTTAGGTTTAAGGAAGAAGATGAAGAGAAGAGAATGGAGCTCTTGGGGGACGAAAATGAAAAAGAGAGTTGAGAAAAAGAGAGAAATCAGATGTGATCTCATCAACCAATTAAGGTTTTCAGTCTTTGAAATTATAAATGGTATAATTACTTCTTTGGTCCTCCTAATTTTGGTTTCATACTAAAAATGCCTTTTTTATTCTCTATTGGACTTAATCCAAGCCCACTTCCACTAAATATTGGGTCAAGACTTCCTACACGCCATGGGTTTTATCCAAAGCCCAATTTGGATTAACTCAAAACTCCCAACCCGGGATTCAGGGCATTACACATATCTTATTGTTAGGACACACATTTTCACGTATATGTCATTTGAAGCACACAAGTAATGAGTTTACATATAATACTTGGGTTAACTACATGAATGATCAATTATATTTGTGTTTTGTTCACTTTGGTCTCTGATTTCAAAAAACATAAGATATTGTCACTTTCGTTTTTATTTAATTAAGATATGGTTACTTTCGTTTTTATTTAATTAAGATGTGCTCATCACGAGTTACAAGTTGTTAAAAATTAACAAAATATGTGACGTAACAGTTGGTATAATCACACATTTGATCCTTGTTATTTATATATTCTCTCAATTTAGTCAACTTTTAAATAAATTTTAAGATAAATATATATTTTTAAATGAAAATAAAATAAAATTTTAAATTAAGTTAATAATAAAATATATTTATAAGTTAATATAAAAATATTTTTTAAGTTAATATATATATATAAAATATTATGTATTTAAGCATTTATACACTAAGATATAAAATATATACACAATGTTGTCTACTTTAGACCAGTCTTGGCATGACATGTGACATCATTCGATTGGAGGATTAAATTTATTATAATTTATTAAAAGTATGACTAACTTGAGAGAATATGTAAATATCAGTGACCAAATATATGATTGTATCAAAATATTTAACTCCTACTAACGACAGTTAACTCGGGGTGACCACATCTTAATTAAATAAAAATGAAAGTGACCATATTTTAATAAAATAAAAACGAAAATGATTGTATCTTATGTTTTTTGAAATCAGTAACCAAAAGTGGACAAAATACAAACATAAATGATTATTTGTGTAGTTAACCCATAATATTTACATAACACATACATAAACATGTTTTTTTGCCCAATACCCCAGGCAGGTAAAATATTTAGGGTATTGGGCCTATCCAAACTTTATTTAACAAAATACGACAAATACTATAGTCCACAACGAGATGACGAGTTCCATTTGATATTATTTTTTAATGGTCCACGCGTAATGGGCCCACATAGGCCATTATTTTAATAGAGTTATAATGACTCGCCACGTCGAGGTGACGAGTCCATTAAAAATATTTTTTTTTAAATTAAAGAAACTAAAATTTATAAAATCAAATAAAAAAATATTCGATGAAACTGTCACCTCGACTTGACGAGTTCCTTCGAATTAAAAAAAAACTAGTTGTTGGCTAGTTGTTGTTCAACTGGCAGATGGGCAGCAACGGTAACTTGGAACTCGTCAACTCGAGGTGACGAGTTCGATTGGGGATTTCAAAAAAACTAGATGTTATAGCTGTTGGGGTAAGGTTATAAATAGGGGTTTAGGGTTTTCATTTTTTACCAAACCCTGAATCTAATTTTTTTTAAAAAAAAACATATGTTGTGCGAAAATATCAAAAAATGACAACCCGAGAATATATGTTGCACCTGGATAACATATATGTTTCGTCGATCCAACGCAGGCCAAACAAAGAATGAAATATTCATAGTCGGGGGGATGACAACTAGAGAGCCACATCAGCAGATGATGACATACTTGCATCAATTTGGTCTATTTTCGGTTTTATTTTACGTGGCTTCAAGGTGTACCCGGCGTTGATCGAGGCCCTGATTGAACGTTGGCATCCTGAGACACACATATTATATTTCCCGAGTGGTGAAGCGATGATTACATTGAAAGCCGTCACTTACCAACTTGGTGTTCCTATGAATGAAGCCCCCGTGGTGAGCCAAAACATGTACGACTCCTAGATGTTGGTCTACCAAGTTCTGGGAAAATGGCGACCATTCGAGCTCATAAGGGGCTAACGGGTAATGATAACATGGTTGGAGTCTGAATTCAAAATGACTGCCAAGTCTACTGAGGTGGAGGTTGTTTTCACATCCAAGTTAGGGCTATTATTACCAGATAAATCCGGTAATTTGGTGTACACTTAGTATCTACAAATTTTGAAAGATTCCATTGTGTGCAGTAATACCAGTTAGGGCTCGATGATTCTAGGCTTTCTATACCATGAACTTTGCAAGGCTGCAATTGTAACGTCATGTCGAAAAGTTGATGTAGCAGGCTATCTGATACTGCTACATTCCTAGGCTTGATATCATTTCCCGTTTTTTACGCCAATTACAAATGCCCCGGTCGAGTTTCTGCTGGCTGGAAGGTAATTATTTAACTTCATTTATTTTTTTATTTTTAATTTTTTAATTTTATTTATTTTTTATTTGTTTATAATAATTTTTATTTTTTAATATTTTAGATGGCGTCATAAAATATCAGAGACGAAGTTGGTAGGTGCCACTACACGAGACATACAAATGAGGATTGATATTGCTGGTCGATTTGCGGTATGACATACGAAATTATTATTATTTTTTAATCTTTTTAACTTTATTATATATTAACTTTGATATTTAATATTTACAGTTTTCTTGGCTTCCGTATGTCGACGAGGAGATCAACCATGTATTGTCGGGGCAATTTTTTTAGGGGTCCCACTTATGGTGTGTCATGACGTCGTTATTACACCAAGTGATTGTTGAGTGACACGCCACTAATAGAGTGATGCGCAAGTTTGCAGCTCACCAGCCGATTCATATGCAAATGGAGGTTGATATGGACACACTCCATACAATCGATACGCGCGAGAAACATAATAAAAATTGGTGACACACTTACTGCATCGACCTATGGAATCAATATGAACTATCGCTCCCCCATCGTCAGAGCATTACACCGTTGGACTTAGATTTCAACCATTCTCCATATCTTTGTCTTTACGAAGAAAATGGAAAACCATATCTCACGACACCGGAAGAGAGGGCAGAATGGTAACATCATCAAGCCACATGCACTAAGTCCAAGAAAAAAGCGTCATCGTCGCTGTCTTCCGCTTCAGCATCTGCGGTAAAAGAGTACCATCTCAGGCTAGTTTCGATTTCTTTCCTCCATTTTATACTTCAGTCGAGACTCAACCGAATTGGGTTGGAGATTTATGGGATGCACCGCAGTACACTCAAGCATCTTTAATAAAACATGAGGTTGCGGGTGGCTGGGACCATATCCTATATGATCAACAAAGTACCAGTCAAGTCGAAGTAGTTACGGCGATGATGGCGTCAAATGTCATAAATCCATCACCTTATTTCGAAGGTGGATCGCAGAGTGTGTCAGGTACACCTCCTCGGCAAGAAGAAGACGACAATCAAGCCTACAACCTGAACGTACTCAACGACCACCGTGACATCGTCAAGAACTTAGAAGACATAAATAAATTTTCTTTGTAATTTTCATGTAAAATTTTATTTTTTACAATTGATTTACTTTGTATTTCGTAAAATTTAAATAAATTTATTTTTCCCTTAATTTTAATTTTTTTATATTATCTCTGGTCGACCTCGTCACCTCGAAGTATCGAATACCAAGTGACCATTGCTGCCCATTGAATAATGACTAGCTAACGACTAGTTCTTTTTTTTAATTCAAAAGAACTATCACGTCGATGTGATGAGTTTCATCAAATAATTTTTATTTGATTTTATAAATTTTATTTTCTATACAAAATTAAAAAATAATTTGATTGGACTTATCACCTCGAATTGAAATATCATTGTAATGTCACTAAAATAGTGACCCACGTTGGGCTCACTAGCATTTATCATATTTTATTAAATAAAGTTTAGATAAACTCAATACCCTAAATATTTTATCCTCTTATATTGAAAAAAACGACATACACAAATACATATCCGTAGATATAATTATTTGATCCAATACTTTCAAAGAAATTATAGTTCCTTTACCCACCTAACTTATTTAACGAGTTAGGTGCATATATATGAAGGAAAAAAACATTAAAATCAAAATTCTTTTCTCTGGTTGTACCGTTGAAACCATCTTAGACTTGAAACATGTCGTTCGACGGCGGCGGTAGCGGCGCTAACACAGACGGCGCCACCAATAAGGATTTCTTTTGCTACCAATGTAACCGTACCGTCACCATAATGATCTCCCCTTCAGCTGACCCGTCTTGTCCAATATGCAACGGGGGATTCCTTGAAGAATACGAAAACCCTAGCCTTAATCCAGGTTCCACCTTCCAAAACCCGAATCCGAACCCAAACGATACCTCACCGTCGGTATCGGATCCGTTCTCTGCCTTCCTCCCGTTCCTTTTTCCTTCTTCACCATCCCCTGCTTCAATTGACCTTCATAACCCTAACCTATTCGGACCAACCCGGTCAGCCCGAGTTGACCCATTCACTTTCGATCCGTTTACCTTCATCCAAAATCATCTCAACGATCTCCGTTCAAGAGGAGCTCAAATCGAGTTCGTGATCCAGAATAATCCCTCCGAGCAGGGCTTTCGGCTTCCAGCGAACCTCGGTGATTATTTCATTGGACCCGGGCTCGAGCAACTGATTCAACAGCTGGCCGAAAACGACCCCAACCGGTACGGGACCCCACCGGCATCTAAATCAGCCATTGAAGCGCTGCCTACGGTGAAGATAGAGAAGAACAACCTGTATTCGGAGTTCAACCAATGCGCGGTTTGTATGGATGAGTTCGAGGAAGGGACTGAAGCGAAGCAAATGCCCTGTAAACATCGTTATCACAAAGATTGCATATTGCCGTGGCTGGAAATGCATAATTCATGCCCTGTGTGTCGTCACAAGTTGCCTAGTGATGATCCTGATTATGAGAGGAGGGTTAATGGGGCACAGGGTACTGCTGGAGGTAACGATGACAATAGTAGCGAGGGTGATAATGGCCAAAGGTCTGAGGATAATCAGACGGTGGAGAGGAGTTTTAGGATATCGCTGCCTTGGCCGTTTCGGGGCCGTGGGTCGGGTTCAGGATCAGATGATAATGCACAGACCAGGCAAGAAGATTTGGATTGAGAAACGTGAGTATTCTTTGTTCCTTTTTTTTTTTTTTGACAAATATGTTAATCATTATATCCTTTTCTTTGTGTTGCTTTCAATTTGCTGGTGTTGAAAATATGGGTTATAGTTTTTGGTTTTTTTGCGTGTGTGTGTGTACCATGTATGGTGAACGTGCTCACCAAATTAGTTTAGTAGCTAACACAAATACTCAATGAAGACAGTCATCTGAGTTTTGGTTATAGACCTTCGGTCCATTGTAGGGCATGACTACAAGAAATCAGGAATGTGGAAAATAGAATGAGAATGCTTCTAAAGCATGAAATATCATCAAAATTTTCATCCCAATGATGATGCTCTTTGAGGGTCGTAGGTCGTGCAACATTTGTTAACAAACTATATTTATAATTTATGTGAATTTGATCAGAAAATATTGATCAAAGTAATTGGATATATGCATTCTTTTATAGTCCCAAGTGGGCGAATGTTATGCCTGAATGTTTTTTCATATTATTTACTTGAATTTATTGTTGATGTGATAAAGTTGATTTTCCAAACATTTGTAAAATATATTAATTAGGGGTATTGAGCTTGAGCAAAAACTTGAGATGATTAATAGTCCATTTTCTGCACTCGTTAACACATATAGCTTGGTCATTATCCCTATTATAGTACAATTATTACAAAGGTTTAGATCAAGGCTCTTCCATTATTTGCTCAGTGGAGAACTGGACATGTTGAATCCCTATCTCAAGTGTTTGAAGGAAGGGAGAAGTCTGAACTTGTTTAAGCTGCTAAGCTTCATAAGTGAATTGTAGCTTTAGCTACCAATATAGAAACTAAACTTTACAGTAATGAAAAAGGGTTTTTTTTTCTTACTTTTCACACGACATTTACCACATATAGTCGCTAATAATTTTCTCAAGGGGACATTTTTTAGTTTGACATCTGTTAGTTTGTCTCTTCATTATGTGGATGCTTGCCATACTGATTTTGGACGGTATTATAAGTGGCTTGTTTTAACTAGTTTTAACTGTGAATGTCTTGGTGGTCAATCTTTCAGGCTTAAAGTGGTTTGAAGTTGTGTTATATAAAGATTGAATACCAATTTGAATCTCAGTAAAGTGAAACTCACAGGGGCGTGGAAAGATGGATTGGGGTAGCTGAAGTAACATATGTTTTCAGAAATATTTTGAAGGACATAATAGGATCATTTGATTTTCTTATGGAATTCTGATTATTTAGGAGTTTGTTCATCCAATATAAGACAAGAAGCTAGATTATCTTTCTCTTTAGCTATTAAGGTAAAGAAAATCATGTAAATATGTTGTAAGAGAAATGTAAATGGGAGAAACAAAAAACTAGAAATGTATGTTATTTATAACTTCTGGTATATATATTGTTAAAAGTCAATCAATGCACCGAATGAAAATCAAAGTTTGGCACCGTCAAATGGGTTTCAACAAAGGAGCATATTTTTGTTGAAAATGGTAATGGGATAATTGCAAATTTAGTCCCTGTATTTTAGGGTATATACAAGATTAGTCTTTAAGCTTCAACTATAAATATCCTAACCCATTTAGCTTCAAAATCATCTCAAATCATTTCTTTTTCCCAATACTAGAGAGATTTCTTGTGAGTTGCGAGTGTTTTTGTAAACAACTGTAAATTTTATCTCTTTAGTAAAAGATCTGTAGCAGTCTGGAGACGTAGGCATAATTGGTTGAACTCTGTTATCAATTTCGGGTATTATTTTTCCGTTTTTATTTCGTATTTTCACTAATCTAGTTATAGGGAAATTACTCGTTTAATTTCCCAACAATTGGTATCAAGAACTTTTGGTGGTGAATTTTATTAGTTTTTCTGCAAGGTTATTATTCATGTGAATAGTGAATTTCGTGAATAGTAAAATTTGGTCGACGATACAAATTTGTCGACGGAGGTATTATAATATACGGTGGTTTGCAGAAATTGTCAGAAATGATCCAAAAGAAGCAATATTCGAGTGGGAACGATAGTTGCAGACGAAGGGAATGCGAAAATTGAGAAATTCGATGGTGTAGACTTTAGTTTTTAGAAGATGCAGATTGAAGATTTTCTGTACCAGAAAAATCTATATCAACTTCTCTCAGGAAAGCAACCAGAGGGCATAAAGAATGAAAACTGGGCTCTTCTCGACAGACAAGCCCTCGGAGTTATCCGACTGACGTTATCCTGCAATGTTACTTTCAACATAGCAAAGGAAAAGACCACGGCGAGTCTTATGGCGGCTCTATCCAGTATCTATGAGAAGACATCGACCTCAAACAAAGTTCACTTGATGAGGTGATTATTCAATTTGCGGGTGGCGGAAGGGGCATCAGTGGCTCAACATCTAAATGAACTCAACACAATCACAACCCAGTTGAGTTCTGTGGAAATTGAATTCGATGATGATGTTCGAGCTTTAATTCTCTTATCATCTCTTCTAGACAGTTAAAATGCTACTGTTTCAACAATCAACAGCTCGTCGGGAAATAGTAAATTGAAATTCGACGATGTTCGGGATCTGGTATTGAGTGAAGAAATTCGACGGAGAGAATCGGGTGAAGCATCAAGCTCCTCAACCTTGCACACGGAGCCTAGAGGGATAATTTCATAAAGAAATTCAAATCGTGACAGCTTGAAATCTAGAATGGAAAATCAAGAACGAGAAAGAAATATTTTAACTGTTATAATTGTGACAAGAATAGTCACTTTAAAAGAGATTGTTGAGCACCGAAGAAAAATACCGGCGCACAAGAATCTGCCAACATGACAGAAGAGACAGGTGATGTCATGATTCTAAGCGTCAACAGTCCGATTGAATCATGGATCTTAGATTCACGGGCATCTTTCCACTCCACCTCATGCCAAGAAATCATGGAGAACGATGTCAGTGGTGATTTTGAGAAGGTTTATCTAGCTGATTATGAAACCTTGAAGATCGTCGGAAAATGATACACCCGATTAAAGTTGTCAAACCAGACCACCTGGAAGCTTAAAGGAGTGAGACATATTACTGGTCTCAAAAGAAATTTGATTTCTGTAGGACAACTTGATGGAGAAAGATATAGTACAACCTTTTCAGACTGTGAATGGAAGATTACCAAATGAGCACTCGTTATTGCTCGTGGTAAGAAGACTGATACTTTCTATGTAACCTCAAACTTGGAGAATATCATTGCAGTAGCAGATGCTGATGAAAAATCAAACATATGGCACCAAAAGCTTGGCCATATGAGCGAGAAAAGGATGAAGACACTTTTGTCAAAATGCAAGTTGTCGGATCTAAAAAGTATAGATGTCGGACTATGTGAGGATTGTATCTTTAACAATAAAAGAAAGTCAGTTTTGTAAAGATTGGCAAGACGCCCAAGGTTGAAAAGTTAGAGTTGGTTCATACTGATGTATGGGGACCATCTCCAGTTCCATCTCTTGCAGGCTCACTATATTATGTCACCTTCATCGATGATTCTACAAGGAAGGTGTGAGTTTATTTTCTAAAGAAGAAACCAAAAGTCTTTGATATCTTCAGAAAATGGAAGACCATGGTAGAAAATGGACTGATTTGAAAGTCAAGCGGTTGAGGTCTAATAATGGAGGAGAATACAGAAATAGTAGATTTAGAAAATTTTGCGTAAACAATGAGATTAAGATGGAGACAACAGTTCCCATGACACCGCAGCATAATGGCGTAGCAGAGCTCATGAACAGAACTCTGAATGAACGTGCCAGAAGTATGAGGATACATGTCGGCTTTCCCAAATTGCTATGGGCTGAAGCTATCAACACTGCAACTTACCTAATAAACCGTGGGCCCTCAAATCCCTTGGATGGTGGAATACCAGAGGAAGTTTGGAGCAGAAAAGAAATAAACCTTTCACACTTAAGAGTGTTTGGTTGTATTTCTTATGTACACATAAATTCTACTGAAAGAAGTAAACTTGATGCTAAGTCCAACAAATGTGTTTTTGTTAGTTATGGTGGTGATGAGTTCGGTTATCGATTTTGGGACTATAAAAATTGAAAGATCATCAGAAGCAGAGATGTCATTTTCAATGAGAATATGATGTACAAAGACAGGTCAATCATAGAATCAAGTAGCTCCAATACTGAAGTTGAAACAAAGGAATTTGCTGAGTTCGAGGAGATTTATGGAAATGATGTTCAGATCAGTCCTGAAGCAATTCAAGAAGAACCAGACACACCAAGACTGAGACGCTCCTCCAGAATTCCTAAACCAACCCAATGTTATTCGCCTTCTTTACAATCAGACTGATGTTGAAAATTGTAGTTGCAGAAAATCTACATCTTGAGCAATAAGATGTAAAGACATCTTTCTTTCATGGTGATTTGAAAGAAGAAATCTATATGAGGTAGCCAGAAGGCTTCATAGAGGTAGACAAGAAAAACCTGGTATGCAGGTTGAAGGAGAGCTTGTTTGGTTTAAAACAAGCTCCTAGATAATGGTACAAGAAGTTCGATAGCTTCATGGGTAGCAGTGGTTTTACGATATGCCAAACAGATCATTGTTGCTTTATCAAGAAGTTCGACAATAGCTTAATTATTTTATTGTTGTACGTTGATGACATGCTCGTTGCAGGCTCAGACATGCAAGAGATTATAAACTTGAAGCAAAAATTGTCGAATCAGTTTGCAATTAAAGATTTGGGCGCTGCAAAGCAGATTCTTGGGATGAGAATTAAGAGAGACACAAAGTCGAGGACTTTGATGTTATCACAGGCTGAGTACATCAACAAAGTACTCTCCAGGTTCAACATGCAAGATGTTAAACCAGTAAGTACACCTTTAGGTGTTTATTTTACTCTCCAAAGAACAGTTACCAAAAACGGAGGAAGAACGGGCACACATGGTGAAGGTGCTATATGCCTCAGCAATTAGAAATCTGATGTATGACATGGTTTGTACTAGACTAGATATTGCTCAAGCAGTTAGAGCTGTTAGCATGTACATGAATAATCCGGGCAAGATACACTGGGAAGCAGTCAAATAGATCCTCAGATATTTGCGGAGTACCAAAAATAAAGCACTTTGTTTCAAAGGTGGAGATACAATACTGACAGACTATGTAGATGCTGACTTATACGGAAATATTGACATCAGAAAAAGCACTATAGGATATGTCTATACTCTAGGAGGTACTGCAGTGAGTTGAGTTTCTCAACTACAGAAGATAGTTGCTCTCTCTACAACTGAAGCATAATATGTTGTCATTGCGGAAGCCAGCAAGGAAATAGTCTGGCTTCAAAGTTTCTTGGAAGAGTTAGGCAAGAAACAAGAAAACAATGTCTTGTATTGCGATAGTCAAAGTGCTATCCATCTAGCGAATAATCCGTCTTTTCATTCCAAGACGAAGCACATACAATTGTGATATCATTTTATCCGGTCTCTTCTGGAAGATGTGATTTTGAAACTTGAAAAGATTAGTGGAGCTCAAAATCCGGCAGACATGTTAACAAAGACGGTGACTACGGACAAACTGAAGTTGTGTTCAGCTTCAGTTGTCATGTTAGAGTAACAATACCAGAAATGTTGTTACATTGATCGAGGTGTGAAGACAGATTAAAATCAGTCTTCAAGTGTGAGATTGTTGAAAGTCAAGCAATGCACTGAATGAAAATCAAAGTTTGGCACCGTCGAATGGGTTTAAAATCAAAGTTTGGCACCGCCAAATGAGTTTCAACAAAGGAGTAGATTTTTGTTGAAAAATGGTAATGGGATAATTGTAAATTTAGTCCCTGCACTTTAAGGTATTTACAAGATTGGTTCTTAAGCTTCAAGTATAAATACCCTAACCCATTTAACTTCAAAATCATCCCAAATCATTTCTTTCTCTCAATACAAGAGAATTTTTTTTCCGTTTTTATTTCGTATTCTCACTAATCTGATTATAAGAAAATTACTCGTTTAATTTCCCAACATATATATATATATAACTTGTGACGTTAAAATCATTTTCTGTGGAAGAAACTCCTTCCAAGTTCCGATGGTCATGCAATGTCTACATTGTGTCGTATGTTATTCAATATTTCTATCTTAATTTTGTTCCATTTTAAGCTGTTTGAATAATATTGTGTCATATGTTTGCATGGTGCAGTAATACTTTCATTCATTCTTTCTTTCTTTTTTTCTTTCTTTCTTTTTTTCTTTTTTTCTTTCTTTTTGCTTTTTTTGATATTGTATCTTCATGGTCAATTTGAATGTACCTTTTTCTGTAGTCATATTTGTACAATGGCACCCTAACTTGGATTTGATTTTTGGCAGATTTGCTGTAAAATATCAGCGTTTCTTCCATGAGACACGGTGGTAGAACTTCTTCCAGTCAGAGTATGGTTAATTAAACATGAAGTATTAAGGTTATCGTGGTTGCATTCCAAGAAAGTCTTGGTTTTGGCATCTGATATTGTATGTGTATCTGAATTCATTTTACAGCTTTGTTACAAGGGATTCAATAACGCTTTCCATACATTGTTTGTTGTATAGATTCTTTGGTCCTTTGCCCAAATATGCAAGCTGTTAGCATGTGAAAAATAAACAATAGGTTCCAAATTATCTTTTATTCGTTGGAATACATAATTGAATCACCTGAAGAAGGTAACATAGCTAGCAGGTGTTGGAATGGTTTGACCGACCTAAGGTGTGACCTAGCCAGGGTGACGTTTTAAGGAGTAGAGAGTTCCCTGCTGTTGCATTCCATTTTAACTGACTTAAGGTTAGGCATGTCAATTGGGCGCCACCCACAAGAATAACACTATTCTTGTTCTACCATCCACGTAGATCTTGAAACTCTTCTAACATATATTATACAAACCGTCATGTGATCTACTTCATAAAATATATTCATGTGCAATTGCAAACATATTTGGTCGGTTGGTCAAGTCTCTCATACTCTTTTAGATTATGGTTTCTAGACTAATTAGGAGTACTCCTTTTATTTCCCCTAAAAGTCTCCTTTCCCTTGACGTATTAGATTTAGATTAATAAAAGAAGGATTAGATTTAGAATTTGTTAAAAAATTTAATAGATTTATAATATCAGTTAAAAGGATATAAATTAATTTTCTTATTAAAAAAATATGCAATTTGTCTTTGACTGTTCATTTGTGATCTTATTTCAACTGCCACGAATTTAAAGAAAATTAATAATGAATTGTCATGTTTTTTAATTGATAAATTAAAATATAACTTCAATACAAGTCCAAAATTTTTTAAAAAAATAATAATAATATTTTTACATGATATTTGAATATAAGTAATGTCTCAAATACATCATAGATATTTCCAAAAATTTATAAATGTAAAAATTTTAGAAATCAATCAATAAGTAATACTAGTGTTATAAAAAAATTAAATGAAATTATTAGTGAAAGTAATTTAATATATTTTTTTGTGTTTTATCCTATGATAGTTGTTATTCCATAGAAGTGGGTTAAATCAAATTAAAATATTAAACTAATTGTTGTGGGGGGAAATGAAAAAGATAATTGAGTGTGGTAATTTTGATTGGATTAAAGGATTCATTGTGTTGGGCCATTGATAACTGGGTTGGAAGAAGGGCCGCCAAAGTGAGCTAACAAATTAAACCCTCGGGGACGTTGGTTCATGGTTGTGTCCATTTCCGGCGAAACAGAAAGGCGGGTAGACACGAAGAATGGAGGAAGATAGCACAAATACTACCAGTTGCAGCAGTAAACCAGCATCGAAGATGGAAGAAGATGCCACCACACCCAAGATGGATTCCCCCACCAATTCCCAGCAAACCGGTAGGTTCTTTCTTTCTCAGTCCCTTTTAGTCTCGATTATCTTTACTGTTTCCGATAGTACATATAATTGAAATTCTAGCATTGAATTTATTCTCTTCTCAGTCAATTTGATGCATGATTCATGCTAAACGGCAATACTAAATGATAAATATGGTGCTATGCCCAAATTTTATTATTTTGAATACATTGATTTGAATGCCTGCATTTTCAGTTTCTGACGACGACGAAATAGACTATTCGATCAAACCTGAATTCTATGACCCAAAGCTTGATGATAAAGATGAGTTATGGGTTCAGAAGGAAAGGAAAGGCCGTATTTCCGATGCCGTGCTTAGCTGTCCTGCTTGTTTTACCACCATCTGCCTTGAGTGCCAAAGGTTCGTGCGCTTGCTCTGTCCCTTTTTTTTGCTATTTGCAGACTCAAACATTAGCCTCTGGATTTGTAGCTCAATCAAACATGTCATATTGATATGTTCCGCTATTCCGTCTTTGAGATTTCTATGAAATCTGAATTGAACTTCAACTTGACAATTGTGAATTGTGAATGGAAGTACAGGAAAAGAAATGGACATGTTATAATTAAGGATGTAAAGTCAAAGTGAAACTTGGCATGCTGTTGGTAGTGTTCTGTTATCTTATCGGATGTTATTCATAAATAATATGCATATAAAAGGCACTGAAGCTACCTTCTGGTAATATACCATGGCAATACGATACGACTACAAGCGATTTCTTCCTTGCATCAAGTTATGTTTCTTCTATCTATTAGTCAGAAGGCAATATCTCTCAATTTTTTTTGCTGCTATTGTGAATTGTGATTAGTGGTTCCCACCAGCCTTTTCCCCTTGTTTTGAAAGATAATATGCTTTGTTGTTTTAGGTAGTTTTGTTCATTTAAGTGCTAAGTGAAACATAATGTCTTAAAACTGGGATTTACCGATTCAACTGTTCCTCGAAATGTGCATTTATTCATCCTTTAAACTAAACTAAACTGTGGTTTTGCAGGCACGAAAAATGCGTGACTGAATACAGGGCAATTTTTGTTGTGATCTGCAAGATAGAAAACGAAATAGTCAGGCAAGAAAATGTAAAACCAAAAAAGTCAGGCAAGCGAAGTGAGGATGAAGCAGCTGCTGCTGCTGGTGGGGAAACTTTCAAGGCAGTCTGTTGTTTGGTCTGCTCAACGGAGGTTGGTGTTATCGATGAAGACGAGGTTTATCACTTTTTCAATGTTCTTCCGAGTGAGTCTTGAGTCTTGGGTCTCACTGCGAAACTAACATTATCACTGCCTGCTTTTCTTCCTTTCCCGCCCTTAGAAACGCATCTGGGGAGATTCCCCCTTAAGTATATTTCTTAGTTTTATTAGTAGTTTTATTAGGATGGCTGGATTAGAAATAAACTGTTGAGATTGTCTTTTTGTTCTTTTTTTCCTGTAAATGTCGTTTTATTTTCTATTGAACACAAAAAAATGTGTATTTAGTTCGTTTATGTTCATAAATAAATTTGTTTATTGATTCATTTAATAAACAATTGAACACGAAAAAATGTGTATTTAGTTCGTTTATGTTCATGAATAAATTTATTTATCGACTCATTTATAAACTAATTTATTTATTAATAATATTTTCTTATAAAATATATTCAAACAATATATTCCTCTATTTTTTAATATGAATTTCAATTCATTAATCTAGATGTAAATATTTATAATTGGTGAAATTATATTTTTATTTTTAGATATAAGATTTACATTGGTATAAGTGTGTACATTTATCACTATCTTGATATCTAAAATAAACACATGCTTACACCGATAAAGTTTGAACATCTATCATTACCTGATACCTAAAAATAAACACATAATGTACATCTCTCATTGTTACTTTTTAAACTTATTTTGATTCTAATCTATTCAATTTTTAAATTATATTTTTACTAAAAGAATAAGATTTTATGATAGGATTATATTTGTGAGACGATTTTACGTTTTGTGCTACATTGATAAATAATATAATAATTGATTTCGAGAAGAGCGGGTGTTAGTAGCGTTAAAATATAATTTTAAATTTTTTTATTATTAAATATTATATAAACTAATTTTTAAAAATATAGGGTCACTTTTTTTAAGAGGTGCCAAAAAAATTTTATAGTATATTTTTGTTTTCTTTTATGTAAAATTGAACCAAAGTCCCTAAACTATAAAAAAAAACCAATGTGGTCCTTATACTATTTTTCGATCAATGTGGCCCTCCAACTCTAAAAAAAATTCAATGTGACCTTTTAACCAATGGAACCATTAATTCATGTTGGGTAAATTACACCATTCATCACTCAATTATTTTCTTCTCTTCTATTTTGGTCACTAAACTCTAAAGGTTTTCAATTTCAAAAATTTTAGAGACTTCAGGACTAAGATCGTAGTTAACCCATTTTTAAGGGTTGTTCTCGTCAAATCTCATAAAAATCTATGGCAACTCATTTCCTTCCATCTCTCAAGAACCCTCGCCCTTCTCCGTCACTTTGTTCTTCACATCCTCACCTTTAACCATTCCATTATCAAATTCATGTATTCAATCTTGTCCCTCTATTTCCGTTCATGTCATCTTTCCCCCATCGTTGTTGATTTAGACGATCAAACCACCCTCCATTTTTGGGTTACCAATCACCGTCAATTCGACAAGCCGACTCTTGTTATGGTCCATGGCTAGGCGGGAACCCACTTTGGCAGTTCATTTACCAAGTGGGTCCTCTGTCGTGAAGATCAATTTGTTCATCCCGATTTGTTGGAATTGTCTCAGGAAAGACAGGTTAATATACGGCGTTATCAGATACATTAAAAGATATTTAATAAATTCGGTTTAGCGCTACCGAAAATATTGAGTAATAATAACGTAGAAGGTCTAAATCATGAAGAAATATTAAAAAATTTGGAAACCGACAAACTTAGCTTGTTGGTTTATGTTGATACTTTATATTGATGTATCGATCCATATTAATAAAACAGGTAAAAATATGACAAAACCGGCCACGAAAAGAAAAACTGGTAAAGCGCTACCGGTTATATTTACAGTGTCGATACTTTAATATAAGTATCGACACTTTGTGAATTTAAAAGAGAAGCAGTTTTAGCGCCTATAAAGTGTTGATACTGTATAAAAATGTATCGATCCACCACGATATAACAGGTAAAAATATAACAGAACCGGTCACGAAAAGACAAAACCGGTAAAGCACTACCAGATATATTTAAAGTGTCGATACTTTAATATAAGTATCGACACTTTGTGAATTTAAAAGAGAAGTAGTTTTAGCGCCTATAAAGTGTCGATATTTTATAAAAATATATTAATCCACAACGATATAACAGGTAAAAATATGATAAAATCGGTCTCTAAAGGATAAAATCAGTATAGAGCGACCGTATATATTGAAAGTGTCGATACTTTAATATAAGTATCGACACTTTGAGAATTTAAAAGAGAAGCAGTTTTAGCGCCTATAAAATGTCGATACTTTATAACAATGTATCGATCCACAACGATATAACAGGTAAAAATATGACAAAATCAGTCTCTAAAGGATAAAACTGGTAAAGCGCTACAGGATATATTTAAAGTGTCGATACTTTATTATAAGTATCGACACTTTGTAAATTTAAAACAGAAGTATTTTAGCGCCTATAAAGTGTCGATATTTTATAAAAATGTATCGATCCATAACGATATAACAGGTAAAAATATAACAAAACCGGTCTCGCAATGATAAAACCGGTAAAGAGCTACCAGATATATCGAAAGTTTCGATACTTTAATAAGTACGTGTAATAAATTATCGATACTTTCAAAGAAATAGGTAATTATACTATCGAAAGTATCGACACATGACATAAAAGTATCGACACTTTTGTAGTTGTATCGATTAAATATAAATAACATATCCGGTGAAAATATAAAGGGAGTTAAATATCCTCTTAAAATAGATTGAACGGACGAGTTTTTGAAATCGAAGCGTAATTGTTGCTGCATTTCAGAAGGCGTTTCTAAAGCGAAGTTTGTTTGTTTGTTGTTGCAGTCGAATCGAAAAGTACGTTGTCAAAACCCTAATTTTTTATTATTACAATAATCGGAAATAGGGTTTTTATGTGTTGTTTGAGATTTTAGAGTAAAGAATCATTTGAGACCGATTGCAGGTAGAAAGTGATATTCTAGATAAAATATAAATATCGATACTTTTATTAAATTTAAATGTGTCGATACTTGAATTATTGAGTGTTCTCATTCGTTTGAAGGAAATTGAGATTAGGGGGTTTTGGGTTTAGTTTGGGGATTTTAAATCGAAGCCAAGAAGGATTTGGGACCGATTATATAATATTATAGTTAGAAAATAAATATGGATACTTGTATATAATATTATAGGTAGAAAATGATATTTTAGGTTGTATAAATGTGCCGACACATTTTGTAGTGGCCATTCAAATTCTTTTGAAGAAAACCGTTTTACCACAAGAGTAGTTATTTATATTTGTATATTGAATAAAGTGTATGTAACAAGTATTTGATTTGATTTGCGTAAATTTGTATATGAAGGAAAAATGGAGACAATGGGTGGAAAAATTGTTGGTGGCGCATATGACTTTGAAATTGAGGCCGAGACTCGAAAGCAACCAAATGGTGGATATATGTACTTCTAGTAAGTATCAATGTCTTTTTGTTATTATTGTTGAAATGGTAATTGGATTAAAGTATTTAAGAACTTTAAATTGATGACAAATTTTAAAAGTTAACAGTATGACCGAATGCTAAAGGATGAAGGAATGTGCCGAACACATCGGTTCGGTATGTAAATTAAAATTGACATTGAGTATTATTTAACGTTAATGTATTGATTAAGAAATGTTTATGCTTAATATTAGGTGAGAAATGATGTGTTGGAGAAATGGAATTCGATGAGTGATGCTGATAAGGAACCTTACATCGCACAGTCAAACATGGATAGTGAAGAATACAAAGAATGTAGGAAAGCACATGAAAAGAAGATATTCATTAAACTTATAAATACGTTGATACAAAATATATAAGAACTATAACATTATATATTGTTAAAAAAATGTAGAAAGTGTCGACAAGGTGCAGCATTAAAAGGGTGAATTCATTAATTAAACACCTTAAGGAGAATGGTCAGTTGAATGTGCTGGGAGAAATAGGGTTTGAATCGTTAGTAGGAGTAAGGGATCGACCTATTCGGAGGTAATTGTCTCAATACTTGATGGCGCAATTTGATGTTAAACAATGTATTGCTAAGTATGGTGATTTTTCATTTCCTCTCGTGATCTCATGTGCTGCAGTCGTCTTGGGGGTAGAAAATGAAGGGAAAAGTGTTGTAGAAGTCTCTAAGAGTAAGAACTGGAAAACACTTGCCTCCAAATTTGGGTTGAAGCAGAATGTGACATATGTTGAACTTGAAGAGGAAATCAAAAGTGGATCTTACGGGGGGATGAGCTGAAGGCCAGAGTTCTAATATACCTTATCGGGATCTTTCTTTGCCCAACGGGTGATACGTCAACGAAAAAGGACTATATGAAGCTCATTTGCGATGAAGGCTTGAAGGGTGAATTCAATTGGGCTGAATATGTCCATCCGAGATTGATTGAATCAATAATCGCCTTTAAAAAGGGCAGCCAGAGATACCTCAAAGGGTGCATAGCAATCTTAGAGGTAAATAGTTGAAGAACGTTTTTGTTTTTTTATATAAAATGATAGTATAGTTTTTATATAAAATTATAAATTTTATTATAAATGCAGGTTGCACTGTTCGATTTTTGGTCGGGCTGTGAGACAGTGCTGGCTTATGAAAGAACCGGAGTGGCACGTATTCGTGCATGGGGGAAGAAATAGGCGGTTAAAGTGATGTTGAAGTTTGATAGACCGAGAAAGCAAGAAAGAGTAATAAATGTAATTAAATAATATTAAGAATATAATCAATGTCTTAATATTGTAATTTAATTTTAAAGGTTATTGGTAAGGAGGCAGTGGAGGTAATGGAGAAGGAAGAAGAGATGGTTGTATTGGGGGATGACGGTGAGGGAAAACAGAGTAAATTTGACATTTTGATGTTTGAATTGGCTGATATCAAAAAAAATCCAATTTGATATCATGCAAAGACAATCAAGAGTAGAAGAGAAACTTGAGAGAGTCGAAGAGACAGTTGAGAGGCATAAGGGGGAAGTGGAAGGAAAAATAGATAGAGTGATGAAAGAAGTTGAGGTGTTGAGGGGTGAAGTGGTGAAAGAAGTTGAGGTGTTGAGGGGTGAACTTAAGATGGTGACAGGTGAAAAAATTGATGGAGTGATGAAGGAGGTTGTGGAATTGAGGAGTGAACTTACGGGGGTGAAGGGGGTGGTTGATGAATACT